GGGAATTTCCTCTATTGGACTGGCCTGTGGCCATGTCTGAGGGGCATCTTCTTGATTGTTGAGTGGTGTGGGAGGGCCCAGCCCACTGTGGGTGGTGCCACCCCTGGGCAGGTGGGCCTGTGTTGCATAAGAAGTCTGAGCAGGGGCCAGGGGAGCAAGCCAGTAAGCAGTGTTCCTCCATGGCCTGTGCTCCAGCTCCTGCCTCCAGATTCCTGCCCCGAGTTCCTACCTTGGGCTCCCTGATGAACTGTGACCCGGAGATGTAAGATGAATAAACCCTTTCCTACCCAAGTTGGTATTCATAGCAATGGAGAAACAAACTAGGACGCCATTGTAGAGATGGGATTCAGAATGTCCTCTAGAGAGAATGAGGAGCCACACATTGCCTCTGCAGGTGAACCCAGTTGGTCCCAGGACATCTGAGAGGTGGCAGTAGTTAGTGCTAACCCAGCTGAACAGCACAACCTCCTGACTCTTATCCATGTCAGGTCACCTCCAAACAAGAGTGCCATATGGAGGCAGAGTGTGACGCAGAGCTTCCACTCCAGCTGTAGCCACAATCAGAGTGGCCAAAGGGACGTGAAGGGGTGCTGACTCACAGTTGAGATTCATGGAGAGCATGAAGGATGATGGGTTTGCAGCCCCCTATGGAGGAACAGTTCCAGACTGTGATCTGGAAAGAACTCCAGGGCAGCTGCTGGCACATGCAGGCTGTGTGTCCTTGGCTCCATCCCTCGACTTTCCTACATGAGAATGAGGAGGGTGGCCAGATAAAGGAAGGCTAAGGGGGACAGAGCCTCTCAGCTAGTGCTTTTTCAGAGTGGGGGCTGGAGCAGGGGGGCCAGAGGGCAATTTGTATCTTAGAGTTTTACAATTCAATCAGAGTTAGTGACACCCATCTGTTCTCCAGCATTTCTAATAGTTACAGGGATGTTCAAAACTTAGTGATAAAGGAGCTCACTGTGGCCTTGTTTATGGTGTCCAGTAATGGCACATTAGTTGAATAATGGCACACTCAAACAATGGAATTTTAGGCAACATTATGAACATTAAGAAGCCTGTTGTGATCTGGGTGTGGTGGCTCCTGCCTGTGATTCCAGCTCTTCTATGAGCCTGAGGCAGGAAGATTGCAGTGAGTTCAAGGCCAACCTTGGCTACAAAGTGAGACCCTGTCACAACCAACAACAAAAACCCCCAAATAAACAGGATGTAGATGTTGTGAAAGATCATTTCATAATATGCAAAAGTATTTCAATATATTAAAAAGTTTAAAAAAAAAGCAGGGCTGGAGAGATGGTTCAGAGGTTAAGTACATTTGCCATTCTTGCAGAGGGCCTGAGTTCAATTCCCAGAACCCATGTTAGGTAGCTTATAATGGCCTATGACTCTAGCTCCAGGGGATCTGACACCCTCTTCTGGCCTCCACAGGCACCCTGCCCACTCACTTATATAAATAAAATTAGAGTAACTCATTTATTTATTTATTTATTTATTTATTTATTTATTTATTTATTATTTTTGGTCTTTTTGAGACAGGGTCTCCCTGTAGCCCCGGCTGTCCTGGAACTCACTATATAGACCAGGCTGGCCTTGAACTCACAGAGATCCACCTGCCTCTGCCTCCCGAGTGCTGGGATTAAAGACATGGGCCACCATGCCCGGCTTTTTAAATTTTTTTTATTTTTTATTTTATGTGTATGTGTGTATTGCCTGGATGTAGGTAAGTGCACCTGTGTCATGCAGTGCCCACAGAGGACAGAAGAGGCTGTCAGAGCCCCTGGAACTGGAGTTACAAACAGTTGTTAGCTGCCATGTGGGTGCTAGGATTTGAACACGGGTAGTATGCAAAAACAGCCAGCGTTCTTAACCGTTGAGCCATCTCTCTAGCCCCTAAAGTAACACTTTTATAAAGTTAAAAAAGTAAGTTCTAAAGGCAAACACTAGATTGTTAATTTTGATTAATTGTGATGGATTCTGGTTTAAAAAAATGTGTGTGGGTATATGTTTATGTATGTGTTCCTATATCTGTGTACATGTGGATATGGAGGCCATAGATTTATGTCATGTGTCTTTCTTGATTGCTTTCCACCTTTTTTTTTTTAACCTGCAAGTGTATAAGTGCACCCATGTATACTGTTAGGGTTCCAAATAGCAGCTCCCCCCGCCAACAGGGACCTACAAACTCTGCTGAGAAGCAGCCTGACTTTCCTCTGACCTCCAAAGACAATATAAGCAGATTCTACCTGTTAACCAGAGATTTTAGAAGCTGTTTAACACAGCAGCTTTTCCCTTATCTTAAGAGGAAAAAAGTAAACACTTCCAGACCCAGATCGTGCCTGGCAGACTGAACGGAGCCAGGTTTACAAGCCCTGCTTTTCCTGCTTCCCCCTGCTTGATTTTTCCCCAAAACTCACCTCCCCCTCTGTTTACTGGTTGACATTTTTCCCTCCACCGACATCTTTCCCTTCCCCAAGGGAAAGGTGCCCCGTGCGAAATAAATCTGTATCCCGCTGAGAATTCCATCTGTGCCTCGGTGCCTCATCCATCCGCTCGTGCCTTCCTCCACCCGCTCTTGCTCCCGCCCATTCTCTACCTATCAGATGGTGCCAAAACCCGGCTCTTACTTCAAGGGACCTCGCACGTAAAACTTTTGGACTCGCTTGTTGTTACTGGCCTCTGAAAACACCACTAATTCAGCATTAAGGTACACTTCCACCCTCTGTCTCT